AAATCGCGGACACTAAATGCTGAGGAAGAATTCTGAAGTCCTTCCTTGCTCTCCCTTCTGTGTAATCTTGTTTTGACACCCTCCCAAAAAAATGCATTTTTCGTAATTAAAGTTAGTACTTCTGAGAACTTTGGGCCCACTGACGGTTCCTCTGCCGGGGACAGTGGAAGAGGAGGCAATGAATGAGTAGCCGATATGTATGAAGTTTAATTCACTAATGTGTCTGAGAACAAGCTTGGGGAAATTTTTAATTTCCCAAATGCCTTGAGAGACTTATATGGGAAAATGTTATTCATTGAAAAAAAGGGAAATACCAGGAAATGAGGATTATGAAGTGTTATTGCTAAGATTTGTGATTTTCAAAATACAGGTTTTAAATAAAAGTCTGCAAGCTCTTTAGAATATGGCAGAACATCTTATTTTCTAGTAACAGTATGTTCTCATCTGTTTTAACTAACCAACAACCACAAGAGAAGCTAACACTGAACATTGGGTTATTGTATTGTGGAATCTACTGTTTGCCACATGAGCACGCAGGATGCCTGGGGGCCTCTCCCATCCCCAAGGCTGGCCTACAGGGAGGGACCCAGGCTTTGGACCCTCATCTTACATCCAGGGCTCCTGTCCAGTGCCTGGGGGCCTGGAATCCTGCTGACTTAAGGTCCGGCCTCTCCCAGTCTTAGAGGAACATCTGGAGGTAACAAGTGTCTTGAACCCATGGCAGCTGCGGAGAGATGCCAGCTGGGTACAGGCTGGGCCAGCCCCAGGATCGCGGGGCCACCTGGTCGCTTCCCATACAGTTTGGGACACAGTTTCTTCATCTGCAAACAAGGCCTTTTTAGTATGAAAGGCAATGGAATGTCATCAAAACTGTCGCACAGTACCTAGCACATGGCGGCCTTTGTCTAAATATATCCATCCAGCCACATATGAGTGGTGCCACCTCCCCAACGAGCCCGCCTCTGCTTTGCCATTAGGTGTGCATTTCGGTCCCGGTGACCTTTCCCGGTCTCTAGAGGGGCGAGCGCCTCGTCCTCGGGCATAGGAGGCGCTTGGAAACCAAGGCAACCAGGCAGCGTCTCAGCTGCCAGAGCCACCATGCGCCTGCGCCCTGGATGCCCTTGGGGCGAGGGGGCGGGGCCGAAACGCTCCCGGCTCCTCCCTCTCC